TGAGTTGTCAATCACACCTTGTTTAATTCACCTTGGTGACTTCCACAAAGAAATTGAAGAGTATATTGAAGAAAGTCAGAATAAGAATACGTATATTTCGTATAGGTCCTGTTTTGGTTTCCACTTGAACTAATTATAAAAAATTCATTATGGTCGAAATGCAACCGTGGACGTCAGCTGGCACTGGAGCCTGCAAATGTTTGCTAATTCCTGTTCCCGCAAAACTTAGTAAGGTTCTCTCTTTGGGAGAGTAAGATACCTATTCGCTGAATTTTCTTACTGGCTAATTCTTACTGGCATTTGCATACTGAACAGAACTAATACTAATGCAAAACCGCGTATGTGAGGCTGCATAAATTATTTTCTAGAGAGTAAAAACACTCATATTTCAAAATGGATTTCTTTTTTATAAAGCAATCGTTTTTCCGGCTAGTATATTTCAGGGCGAATGGATAAGGAGAGCTTGTGTGAGCAAATCCAATTTTATGCAGAATGACGATACGCGGTTTTGTACTTTAAACGACGATATGCATGTATGTAACCTTGTGATAATGTAAATATATAGAGAAACTTGCTTAAGATGCCGAAAAGAGCTTAAAAATAATACACAAAGGGAAAAAATGAGAACAAAGCTTTTAAAATTGAGCAAGGTATAAATAAAAAGTAATAAATAAAAGAATAACAAATAATAATCAAAAGCAATATCGTCAACAAATTCGTTGAGGAAAAAAGTATGTACACACTAGGGTTGATGATTTGACTCGGGTAAAGAGTTACCCGGGTATCCGGGCACCCGAAAAAATGTGGGAAAGGAAAATTTAAACGCATTTTATGTTCCTTAGTAGTTTACGTGAGTTTTTCAAAATAAATATAGGAATTCTTATTAGAAATGTACGCTGTATTCTTGACCCTGTAAGCCAGACTCTTTACGAGATTTTTGAAGAAGTTGTAACACATCCACGTCTTTTAGTTTTATTATTATAAAAACTTGCAAACTTTCTGTAATCAGCCAGACCCATCCGGTGGGTCAAGCATCCCCCGAACACCCTTCAAGTGTATATGCACAGTTGTGCTTATGTAAGTAAGTTTCGAACTTTTTGCAACTTTGGAGCGTCTAGCAGAAGTTACTGCCGGCGAGAAGTGTCTGGCAATAATTAATATTGTTTTTAAAATATTAGAAAAAGGTTAAATAAGAAGCCTTAATTCGCATTACCCGGGTTACCGACATTAATATATATAGTATCCGGGTATCATCAGCCCTAGTACACGCAATGCTTGCTGACTGAATCAACTCTTATTCGAACTTTAAATGTATGTCATGCACTGGTCTGAACTTGACTACAACAAATCATCTGAAGTTTTTATAGCCGCATCACAACATCTGCTTAGTGGTTTCTTGTCGATAACAATAGGAGTGTTCGCTATGCAAAAAATTTGTACAAGTTGGTACCAATTGTAACCAAATCGTGTTCGTTTAGCTAAAAACCCAGTAAAACTTGCAAGGAGAGAGCACAATTTTGACATTTCATTTGGAGGGAAAGTTGCAAATTCGTGCTGGGAAAATTTTTGCCAGTAAGGGCCTGTGCCAATCGGTAACTTTTTTTTCCGTGGTGAGACGGGGTGGAAAAATTTGCTATGGTGTACAAATAAATTGAATTTTGCTGTGCCAAATGCAGAGTAAAATTTTGACAGTTGAAAAACCAAACAAACGCTCGTGCGAAAGCTTTATTTTTGTGTGTTGCTGAAATTCTTAAAATTTATATTTATTTTATAATTTGCAAGTAACGTACGTTTTTTTTATGCTGTTTCAGCTTTCATTTTCATGTTCACTCCTTATTACCGCCAAGCAATATTATGTGTATACATGGTTATAAGCTGTCAAAATTTTACCTAGCCCCATGAGCTAGGTAAAATTTTGACGTTCGTATTCACCACGAGAAGTGTCAAATTTTTACTTTGATCCGTCAAAATTTTCTATTTTCTATCAATTGGCACAGGGCCTAAGAATTTCCAAGCAGGATTGTGGCACACGGTTGCATTTTTGTCAACATTAATTTGAATCAACGAGTTCGTTAAATTTAAAAATGAACAATCTTGTTGCGATTTACTAATGAAAGAAGTGGGAAAATATTCGTTTATTCAATTAATTTAATTAATTCCAAACATTTGGAAGGTACGCGGCTGAAAAAGCTGTATTCGTAATCGGAACGCACTCGACACCCCTGTCGATATAGGAAATCCGACAGTGACTTCCACAAAGAAATTGAAGCGTATGTTGAAGAGTCAGAACAGGAAGAAATATACGTATAGGTCCTGTTTTGGTTTCTACCTGCAATAATTAAAAAAAAATTATGCTCGAAATGCAACCGTGGAAGCCAGCTGGCAGTGAAGCTTGCAAATGTTTGCTAAGTCCTGTTCGCGCAAAACTTAGTAAGTTTCTCTCTTTGGGAGAGTAAGGTACCTTATTCTCTGAATTTTGTTCCTGGCCAGTAAGATTGCAGTTGCATAGCGAACACTCCTAATGTCAGTAGCAGTAGTAAACTTTACCATAGTAACAAAAATGAAAAAAAAAAAAAAGATCTGAAAAAGTGGTTTTCAGTAAAGCAAATCCGAATATACATAAGGAGTAAAAACTAACAATAATTTTGATGTCCCAATTAAAGTTTCTCTCTATCTTTGAAATATTCGGAGATTAGTATTTTAATAATAATAATAATACCATTTTGATTCAAGCACAAAAAGTTTAACGCTACATACATATCATGATAAAATTATTACAATGTAATGTTTTAGCCATGCCAGAATGTCACTGCTGGCCAGATTTGTAGACGTATGATGGATCTTTCGGCAATATTTCACATTATTTCTGACCTGAAATCGATGGTTTTCAAGTTTTGGTTTTTAATTACAGCTACACAAAAAAACGTATCGTTCTGCCAATCGGATAGGACTAACTATGCTTATTTTATGGCTTTGGACCGCTGAAACGAATACAGTGTTGAACAATTTTACACCAATTTTTTTTTTTTTGTGTTGAAGAAAATGCACAGCACCTGCGACAAAAGAATATCTCAAAAATCAACAGTAATTTTTAGCGACATGAAACCTAAACTTTATGCATTTTCGCGACTTCTGTATGAAAAAAATAAAAAATCGATTCTTGTAGTTTTTATAAATAAATAAAATCGTCGAAACGTCGGGTATACTTATTTTTGACGCTCACTGTGTAAATGAATTCGCCTTGTTTTACATTTTTTATATTTTTTGTATATATAGTCAACTGTTATTATCGTTTCTACCTTGTTGAATATACCTTGTTAAAGCATTATATGTATATCTTAATAGCTACATGAATATAAATGCGCAACAACAAAAACAACATACGCAAACTCCAATTTTTATTTTAGTGTGCAGCGATGTCTTTACTCGCTTTCTACACTAGCTACTCTCACTTCTCCTACAACAATTTAATAGTATAACAAAGCTAAATATGGGCACATTGACCCGATATGTATGGTAATCAGCTGCTATTATGGGTACTTTTGATTTGAATGAGTATGAATGTATGTAAAAGTACAATCGCTTGTGCTGTTTCTTTGTTTCAATAGACATAGGCATTTCTACTGCGCATTTAACACCCACCCCTCATCCACTAACACTTCCACTCCACTGGAATAACACAAACGTATCATCAAAAGTTTGTCATGCGTAAACAGACAAGCTGCGCTAACTTCTAGACGAAATAGAAATGCAAAAAATATATAAATATACATATATGTATGTACGTAAAATTAAATGCAGCAAGTCAAGAAGTCAGCTGCTCTAAGGCGAGACACTGTTTACACTGGAATGCACATTTAAAGTACATACATAAGCACACATGTATAATTGCATTGGAGAAATAGATTTGCTTTCAGTGAGCGCACCACTGAATACTCAAATCGAAATTCATATGATTCCCAATCAAATGTGCTGTTAAAAGAAACGAAAAGGAACGGAATCACTTAAATAAAATTCAAATCTTTCATTCTTCAACACCTGACAAAATCGGATGGATTGGGTGAATCAGTCATTATACATACTGCATTGGAGGACGAATATGTGTAAGCGATTTATTTTTGTTGGCATGCGAGTGTGGGTTCTTTGTGCATCTTTCATTCGATTGCTTTGTTTTGCTACAGTTTGCTTTGGTTTTGGTTTACTTTAATTTTCCATTTTTGTAAGAATACATATACATATGTATGTATAAAGACACAAAGTCAGCCAGTCATGATGTAGCGAGCGCGCGCATCGCCAAAAGCTTTTACAGAGCAAATCGAAACGAAAATTGGCTGAAGCAGAAGTCTATTGCTCTCCAGCAAGAGCTGTCCATCGATTTACTCTCATTGGTAGAAATGCTTAACAAATTCAATGACATGATATTTGGTTTTAGCTTTATTTAGTTTCGTTTTGGCTGCTTTAGTGGAATGTAAACAACAACAACACAAAAGGAGAGCATGCGAACAATGTGCCTACAGCTACTAGCTGCATGCATACGTATTGATGCGTGCTTGCAGTATATGTGCCTGTATCAAATGTATATATAGATATGTAGGTACTACTTGTTTAAAAAGACCATGCAAACGTTAATACTTGAGCATGGAGGAAATAGAAAGAGGGGGGTGTATGTTAGAGAGCGTTGTACGTTGTCTCTACTAGTGCTAGATGATAGCGCAACTAATTGGTACGTAGGTACGTAGAGAAGACATCGTTGTTGTATTTATGAATATTATTACAATAAATGACATGATATTAAAATTACAATGTACTGATTTTAAGTTTTATCAAATATTTCGTCACAATGAAATTTGCATTTGTGTTTTTGTGTAACGTAATATTCTAAAAAAATTACGAGAAAGGGAACACACCACTACTGTGCAAATGTGAATGTTTGCACATGCCTATATATATATGTACGTGCTAAGAACTTTGCCCATAACAACTTCGCTTCGTTCACTCACCTTCAAATCGGCATCTGCCTTTCCCCACTCGCCCGACAAGACATGCTCCCGAAACTTCGAGGCAGCTGGATGCTCCAAATAGCAACCCGATTCGGTCATTAAGGTTTTTACCGATTTGTCTAAACCAATGTCTTGCAAGTATTGACCAATCAACCGAATAATCTCTTGATTAGTTTTGTCCAAGTGAAAATTGTGATTGGCGACGGCCACGATCGATTGATCATGATTGTTTTGTGCATCTAAGGTGCCACTTTCATTGTTGTCCGAAAAGCCATTATGTTTTGTGTCGTGTCCATTTGACGTTGAAGTCGATGAATTTGCCGAATTGGACACATTGGCCAGCGAATCGCCGCCAGCAGGTCCCAGCGTACTACTACCACCACCACCACCACCATCAGCTGCCGAATTAGCTGATGATGAATTGCCAACCGGAGCGGCACCGGAAGCCGATACGGACGCGGAACCCGTACCCGTACCCGTACCCGAACCCGACGAGGACGCGCTCGATGATGAGGGATTCAAAGCCGAGTTTTGCATTTTCGTTGTTTCGTTACCACTATTGGAATTAGTACTTTGTTCAAATACTTCAATATTACGATCAACGACAGCGCCACTGACGGCGTCCACAACACTATCACTGCTAATTGGTGAGTTTCTTGTTGTATTTTCTTGTGTATTCTCAATTGTTTCAGTATTTACGCTATTACTATTTTTTGGTTCACCTCTATTTTGCTTCTCACGGGTATTTTGATTTTGATTTAATCGCTGCTGTTGTGCCGCTCGTGAAGTCGACGCTGTTTCTGCGTCAATAGACACACTCGTACTGAGACAATTGCTGCTAGGTGCTCCTGCTGCTGCTGCGGCGATTCCGGTCGTCGTTATTGAAGCTCCCGCTGCGGCTGCTGCTGTTGATCCTCCTGCTGAACGTCGTCCTTTTTTGCGCGGCGGCTGGTCCTCGGAAGAGGCACCAGTTGCAGCAGCCTTCTTGTTATTTCTATCAATTTTGAGTCTCTTTACTTACACACACGTCAACAAAACACTCTCGTCGCGCGAAAACGCTCTCGTTCAGGCGCTCTGGTCCGCAAGCTTTTGCAGTTGCTGCTACTGCTACCGTTGAGACGTGATTGCTAACCTCTCTGCTTAAACGTCTTTGGAGCTCTACCTGCCTGACGATGGTTGCGATAGAGAACTTTTGTTGTGTTTTAGTTTTCCACTCAGCAGAGCTCCAACATTCTACAAACAACGGAGTAAGTCTGCTATGGCAGCTGCTGTGTTGCGCTGTGGTCTGCTTCACAAAATCAACTACTTAATAGACGTTCTATATGTGTATGACTGTTGTCTTCCTATTATTGGTTAGTATGACGGTATTGTGTGCTATAACAACACACCAGCACAACTCGATGAAGCTGATAACAGAAGAGAAAATATAAAAAATGTTAGACAAATATCAAAAGAGTTGAATTTTCAATAATTATAATTCATTTTTTGTATAATGTATTCAAACCCGGATCGAAAAATAACTTGCGGATACTTCAGGGAAGAGAAATTCGACTAAAGTCAACGTATACTATGGAAAATTGAAAAATCTTTTACATGAGTTCGTATTTTCGCACGTTTAATAATAAAGAGAATTAATTTAAAATTTTATTTTTGTGAAAAAACGCTAGGTAGTTGGTACCTATACAAAAAACTATATGGACACATACAGTCAGTCAATAAAGTTTAGGTACAGCGAATATTTTACAATACCGTCAACTACTTTTTAAATATTTTATTTTTCGCTATTTTTTCTATTCTAAGACAAAAACCCCAAATCAGAGTTCCTAACCTACCAGCCAAATTTCACAAATAGAAGAAATAATAAAAATTTTACAAAAAAATTTGTAGCCGCTACAACAACAACAAATAAAATTGTGCATTAGAAATAAAATCCAAAACCCACAAATAAAATTGTCTTTAAACCTTTACTTAAAATATTCGATAACCTACCTAAATATTTTATTTATTTGTTTAATTATCTACAGTCCTCGCAGATAAGCAGGAAATTTATACAAAAATTAGTCATAATATTTATACATACAGGATAACAAAATATGAGAAAATTATTTGAAAATCAAATAATCATTAATATCAATTTTAAAACGTTCTCTACATGAATAAATATCGACATAATTACAAATAGAGTTACATAGCCAAATGGACCTGTGAATGGACTCATTGTTAGCAAATTTCATATTTCGTTTTACGGCGCATAAAAGGGCAGAAGCAAAAGTAGTTCTGGGGAATCAATTTTGTTATCGTATATATCTTTGATGAAAAAAATACCACACATTTTTCTCCTATTAGCAATGTATTTTAATTTCAGAATTCTGCATCTCAGTTCGTAAGATGGCATAGATTCATAAGAAAACATGTGTCGAAGGACAAATTTAGTAAATCGCCTCTGAACTCTTTCTATTCCAAACTAGATCTCACCAAGCATATGTAAAGACTTTTAAGTGTGAGTGGATCTAAAAAGTGCTTTGAGTTTCGTTTGTGAAAACCCAATTTAGAGTTAGCCGCACAGACTCATGTTCTCTGTGAAAATCGAAGTTTAGTTTCGAGTATAAGTACACACCTACTTTCCTGACTATTAAAGCGCTCACAGTCGTTAAAAGTGTAATTGTACATTATACTGGCATTTTTACAACAAAATGTAATAATGTTGCACTTTGAGAAGTTCAAAGAAAGACCGTTGCAAATACCCCAATTTATCAGCGATGATATGTCTTGCTGTAGTCTAACACAGTCGTCTAAGTTCTTTACTCGATAGTATAGTTTCAAATAGTCGGCGTACATCAAACAGCTGCAAAATTTCAAAGTTTTGATGTCATTTATAAATATTGAAAAAAGGAAGGGGCCCAAATGACTTCCCTGCCGAGCCCCAGATGTGAATGTTATAGATTTAGAGAGGTTGTTGCCAATTTTTATCACCAATTTTCTGTCTTTTAGGTAAGACTAAAGCCATTTTAACCACGAAATTTACGAATATGGCGAGATTTGTGTTAGTGGTTCTGCCCGGGTAAAAACCGTGCTAATGCTTAAATGCCCCAAAGAGCTGGTTGTTTACAATTTTATCCAGCAGCTTTGGAATGATAAGAGAGTTTTACAATGGGGCGATATTTTTCAACTAAATTTCGTAGGACCGACTTATAAAATGAGGAGATAAATAAAGTTTCCACTCGTTAAGGAACAAGAAACCATTTTCAAGGGATTTAATGAAAATTTTAGTAAGGGGCATATAAAGAGAGCCTGCACAATTCCCTAGAAGCAAAGGCGGCAGTAGGTCATATCATGCTCCTTTTGAAACATCTAAATCTACAAGCGATTCGAGAACAGCATTAAATCTGTCAAATACCGACCCAAAGAAATAAGCGAAAAGTTCACAAGATTCTTGTGTTGCGGAAGCGACGGAGTCCTTAAATGTCATGGATTTTGGCATGCCATTAACTTTTCATTTTGAGTTAAAAAATGACGAAAATGATTTAGGGTTAAGTTTAATATTAGTCTCTAGGGAATTAGTATATTTGTCGTATACAAATTTTTATAAGCATTCATATTCTTTTCTACACTGGAAAAACTTTTTTCTATTTTCGATAGAACGAGTTTCTCTAAATTTTTTTATGCGCATTATTCCGCTGATTTTTCAGTCTTAGTAGTGTACCACGAAGATTGAAGGAACGTATAAATAAAAATATTTACGTAATGGCACAATTAAGTTATCTTATTATAAACAAATGCTATTTACATAGATATAATGTGTTTTATATTCTTTCAAAGATCTCTTATTAGTTTTTCATTTGACTAGTTGAAGTTGAAATATTGCACATATAATTCTTTGACTGGAGTACATACATATATTTGGCAATTTTGGGGAGTTTAGTTGTTAGACTTAACACATCCCCAAAAATGTAAATTGTGAATTATTTTTATTGTTAAACGAGGAATTTGATTCAACCAAATGTTTTACAAGTAGGTATGTAGGAAGGAACTTTGTAAGTACGGACCTTAATACTTTTCCAGTACCGAGATTTGCTATATTGGATATCTACCATTCGGAATCGAAGCATGAATGCTACGCATTAATTTTTAATATGTACATATGTACATACGTACCTATGTATATGGGATACTATCCCTTAATCTATGCAATGAAAGAAAATGTGTATGTACATTTATACCTAGGCATATACAGTCAGCGTCAAAAATATGAATACCCTGACGTTTTGGTGATTTTCTTTATTTTTATTTTCCAGGCCGACTTTTTTTTATAAAAATATAGTTCATCCTAGATCAAAAACCGGCAGAATAAATGTTTGTGAGATTCATATAGAACTCGGGGAAAATTCAAGAAATACTAAAAAATTGTCAACTTTTTAATTTGATTTCATTCGATTCAGTGGAGCGACGTTTGGACACAGCATTTGGAAAATAACATACTAAGATACAGTGGTGGCCTTATAATTAGAAACGACTTTGCTGCATATAATTTTGCTAATATATTTTAAAAATTTATTTCGCCACATCAAAACTATTAATTAGAAATAATAAAGTAACAAGTTATCTTTGAGTTTAACATAAGAAAATTCACAACATTAACACTATTTTTAAGAAAATTAACTAAACCCAAAAAACACCGATTTCAGTTTGGTCATATGATTAGAAACGGCAGCGACAACTTAAAAATATCTTCACAAAGTTAAACAAAATGGTCATAATTTTGAATATCTTGTGGGATAACCCTTATTTTTGATAACATTGTCCAATCTTCTCGGTAAACTTTGTATTAAATGTTGACATGTTTGGACAGATATGCTGTTCCAGCTCTGCTGCACCAATTGAAACAATTCATCATTATTTCGCGGTTTCTTGTCCTTGAGATCTCGTTTCACAATTGCCCATAAGTTTTCAATCGGATTGAGATCCGGACTTTGCGGGGGCCAGTCCAAAACATCAATATTTTGATCCGAAAGCCAGCTCTTCACTAACCTGGAAGTGTGTTTTGGGTCATTGTCATGCTGGAAAATGTAATGGACTGGCATATTCTCAAAGGAATATGGTTCCATTACATTCTCCAGAATATTTGTATATTGATGTTGGTCCATTATTCCTTGAATTCGCACAATTGGGCCCACACCACGCCAGGAAAAGGCTCCCCAAACCATAATAGATCCGCCACCGTGTTTTAAGCATTTCCTTTGCGAACCGCAACCGCCTCTTAATATTTTTTTTGATACATGCGGCTTTTTTTTGTGCAATGCACCCACGAAGTCCCGACTCTTGTAAGCGCCTTCTTATCGTCCGAGCGGAGATTTCCGCATTAATTTGATGCCCAACTTCAGCCTTTATTTCACGCGAAGACATGAATGGGTTGTTCTTGCTGGTTCTACAAATAAGCCTATCTTCAGTTGGAGTAGTTTTTCGAGGCCGGGGCTTCCTGCTAGGGGTTTCAAACGTCTTGATTTTATTGTATAAATGAATTGCTCCAAATACCATCTTTTTGGAGCAAGCAAACCTTTGTGCGATAGCCGACATCGACAGTTTCTCTTTTTGATAACACTTCACAATTAACTCCCTCATTTTTGGAGTGCATGACTTTATTTTGCCCATTCTGTTTGTTTGACAACAATGTTCATGGCCTACTCTATGAATAACGGTGCTCATCACTTACAGTGTCCGTCTTAAACAAACTTGTACAGTGATTTTCGTTTTTCCAGCACGTCGTTTCTAATTATAAGGCCACCAGTGTATATATTTTGAAAGCAGCGGCATAACCTGGCGTTGGTTTTATATAAACCGGCCAACCTAACTTGCATCTCATTATACTAAAATTTAATGGTCTACAAAACTGCATACCCATAAATTTTCTAAGAAATGGGATTGAAAAGTTGAAAATTTTGATGACAATTTTGCTGTTTAACTTACTATATTTTTATAAAAAAAAAAATTAAGAAAAATTTGGAATGGAAAATATAAATGAAAAAACGTCAGGGTATTCATATTTTTGACGCTGACTGTATGTAACTAAATAGAAATACATATCGTCGTTTAAAGTACAAAACCGCGTATTAACAAAATGCAAATGGTTATCTTTTTTTATAAAGCAATCGCATATCTGACCAGTATATTTCAGACGAATGGATAAGGATTGAGCCAAGAGCTTGTGTGAGCAAATCCAATTTTTGGCAGCTAATGCCAGTTACGTTGTTTTGCAGAATGACGATACGCGGTTGTGTACTTTAAACGACGATATGCTGAACAAAAGGATGTAGCTACAAAAAGTAAAATATGTATATATCTTAAAAAGTACGGATTTTATTGATTACGTACGATAGGTACGCGCCTTTAACGACGAACTTTCATTTTTCATAAACAAAAAAAACTAAATATGCGCTTTACCTAATTTACACTTTCACCAGAACATCAAGTGTTTATCTTATAAGCACTTACATACAGCCTTACATACATAAGTACAAATGCAGGCATGCATATGCTGCAATTTCATATTTTGGTTTTTATTTCACATTCAACACACATTTCAAAAACTTTTTAGCATACGAGTGAAGTTCTTGACACTATAATTAATTGATAGTTGTTTACGTTGGCCTGCAGCTGGCTATTTTAAAGCATCACAGCTACACTTACAAGCATATGCAGAGGCAATACTCATTATTAAATATGTATATGCTTACAAGCAAGCAATCTTTTCTTCGCTGTCACAGCATAAAAATTTTTCACATTTAACAACGGCTCCAATACGATTTCTACTTTTTTTACTTCCTGTTATTTACTACTTCTGCATAGCTAGCCCCTCCTCGAGCACTATTTCTACTTATACGCATACATATTTATTATATTCGATCACCTCAATTTCAATGTTTTATTTCATTTGCTTTTTCCTGCTTCTTTCTTTTGTCTTCTCCAAGTGCAATGGAAGTTTTTTCTTCCTTTTCCACTTTTTCTGTAGCCCAATTGGTGCACTTACAAAATGGTTCTTTTCATCCTATGTTCATGTTTTTCGAATAAGTATTCAATGAATTATAATTAATTAAATATTTTACTATCGATATTTGATATTTTTCAGCACAAATATACAAGTTTAACATTAAAAAATTGCGAAAAACCGATGACGAAACAAAGAACTACTATTTTTTCTTCTGCTCACCACTATTCCTTCTAGTGTTGGCTAAACATCGATAGCCCATCGATAGTATCGATTGCTCGGGCAATATTAGTCTATCGATAGTTAAAAAAAAACAGTCGTTGAAACTATCGATTGCTACGAAGAATAAGTTTTCGGTACTGTTCATTCAAAAAAAAAAAACCTTTTTTTAACTCATTCAAACTTCCTTTCTCTTTTATTTTATGTGCGATTTGAAATAACGTAAACTTCCGTAAATTCAAGAAATTCTCTTTATAAAAGGGGGTTCAAATCGCAATCCGACGCAGATATAGCTGTAAGCTTACTACGAAAAGGATACAGTTCGATAATTGCAAGCGAATTACTTAATAAAAACCAAGACAAGATAACAGTACAAAATACTATCTCGGTATCATTCTCACGACAGTCGGTTCTACGTACTGGAATGACTCGGGTTTACCCGACCAAGGGCTGTTGTTTCGGCGATCTAACTCCGTTTAGGTCAGCGAAGTATCTCAGAAGTTATTCCTCCATGCTACGTATTCTTCTGCTCATCGAGTCAAACCCAGGGCCAGAAACCTACACTTGCTGTGTATGCCAGAGACGACTACACCACAACTCCACCTCTGTCAAGTGCAATGCTTGCGACAAGTGGAGTCACCTCAGAGTTTGCTCAGAACTACGGACCCATCGGCAGTGGACCACATCATATGTGGCCCCTGCTATTCAAACTGAGCATCCTTCACGGCTAACCCAAGTCCACCGGAGCAGCTCAACACAAAACCCACAGCACCACAAAATAACAACACACGTTCCCACGACAGCCGGTTCTACGTACCGGAATGACTCGGGTTTAACCCGACCAAGGGCTGTTGTTTCGCCGTTCTAACCCCGTTTAGGTCGGCGAAGTATCTCAGAAGTTGTTCGTTCATAGGGCTATATTCGCTACGTATTCTTCTGCTCAGGGCTGGCATCGAGTCAAACCCAGGGCCAGAAACCTACACCTGCTGTGTATGATAGAGACGACCACACCACAACTCCACCTCAGTCAAGTGCAATGCTTGCGAAGGGTGGAGGCACCAGAGAGTCTGCTCAGGATTACGGACACATCGGCAGTGGACCACGTCGTATGTGGCCCCCTGCTGCTCAAACAGAGCAGCCTCCACGGCTAACCCCAGTCCACCTGAGCAGCCCCACACAAACACCACAGCACAACAACATAACAACACAATAGACCACATCATACCCACGACAGACCACAGAACACACACAACCGCACCACTACCCACACGCCGCCGCCAACAACTCCTGGTTCCTGCTACAATCTGCACGGTATATCAGACCAGGATATTCCGTAATGTGACATCAGTCAAGTGCAACACATGCCTTGGCTGGTGCCACTTTATGGCATGTTCAGGTCTGCGTACCACCCGAGATTGGACGAGGAACTCGGTCGCAGATCTCAACTGCGACGCCACCCACACCACCGCAGGGCGGCAACCACCTCAGCAGCGCACACAGCCAATGGCGTCACGGCCACACACATCTCTCACACCCCGCATCACCACACGTCTCCCGAAGCACATGATGCTCCTTCAATTTAACTGTAACGGGCTTCAGAGCAAGATCGAGGAGATAACCGTCTTCATAGGAAGGCATGCTATATTGATAGCTGCGGTCCAAGAGACGAAGTTGCACTGCAATTCAACATTGTTGAATTGTTCCGGGTACAACGTGCACCGTCGAGATCGCGAGCGAGATAATGGTGGGGGCTCAGCGTTCATCACGCACCACACCGTCCAGTATCGTCTTATCGAAGCAGACATCGACCGCACGGATACCACCCTAGAATGTCAGGGCATTGCTATCTGGTCAGGCGATGTTGAGCTCGAAATATTTAACGTGTACGTACCCCGTGTCACCTGCTGCCCGGCAGGATATCCCTCTGATATAGGTACACTCCTCAGAGGTGAAAACCGTATGGTAGTAGGTGAATTTAATGCGCACCACGATCATTGGCACTCAAGCCTGTCAAACGATCGTAGGGGAACTGACTTGGTTGAGCAGATAGACGATTCGACATTCTGCACAATGAACGACGACGCACTACCAGGATTATGGGCAGCTGCTGCAGCTCGCCAGACATAACAATAGTCCGCGCTGGTCTGATAAGCAGCATATCATGGCGACCTATGCTGCCTTTGGCTTCAGACCATCTGCCCATAGTCATCTCGATCGATAAGCCAACCGACTTTGCTTTCGCGGAACACTGGACCTATATCAACTTTTCTAAAGCTGAATGCAAAGGCTTCGCGGAATTTACTGAAAAGACCTTCGGTGCGTTCCCCACACCAACCGACGTCCACCTTGGTGAACGTAAGTTCCGCAGGGCTATCACCGCTGCTGCAGCTCGCTTCGTACATAAGCGGAAGAAGTGGGAAGAGCATCTGAAGACCTGTAACTTCACCTCTGGTGTGAGTAAGCTTTGGTCAACCGCAAGGTCACTGTCCAAACCGACGGAGCATGACAGCAGAGTCGAAATTTTTTTCCGCGACCATGTTTCGTCCGACCCGGAGCGATGCGCGAGCTATTTTAGCCGGCAGTTCATCCTGCATCCTTCGGTGGGCAAAGCTAAGCGTCGAGTGATAAACTGCTAACAACTTGTGCCCCCCTTGCTTTCACTTGCGGTGAAGTTCAGGTGCCCATCGGAAAGGCGAAAGCCATAGGTCCCGACGGAATATGCATGCTGATGCTGAAAAATTTGGGTCCTGCGGGAGTAGCGTACCTAACGGAGGTTCTCGATTTGTCAATGGCCACTCTCATCATCCCAGACATCTGGAAGGTGTGGAGAGTGGTCCTACTGCTCTATCCGGGGAAACAAAGTTTTGCATTTCAAAGCTCCCTCAACCACCAGACCGTGTGACAGGGCCCATAATACTGCATGCTACACCGTCAATAAATATCGCGATACTTAAATCACGTGAATAAATACTGACCGTGTGACAGGGCCGAAAGCAGTGTTTGCATTGTTCATGATACAACCCTGCAAGAACAGTGACTATCATTTGACAAATCATTTGAGTGGCAAGACTGATAGAGATTTCTGTCACTGGCTACCTACAAGTTTCTATCAAATTCTAACGGGCAGTGTGAAAAATCTGATGTAAACATTTGTGTACCTGTGATCTTCCGTCTTCCTCCAAATTATGGTCTCTTTTTAGCCAACGCAAACTTTGCAAATGTGTTAGTAAGATAAATGAGAATGTGTTAGTTTCCATCACACAATTCTTGTAGGGAATAATACAAGGTGTTATCGGTTGGCAACTTGTCGTTCTAATTCCGCCATTTTGACTGCCTTAGGTCAAACAGAGTTACTTCTTTAACAATTATTTGCCTAATAATATAGTTGATTTTTTTTCTCAGTATACAAATTTTGTTTTCTCAGAAAGGTATTATATCTAATTTTATTTCATTTTATTGCGAATATACTATAAAAAGCAAATTCTGTTTAGAAGAAAAAATGAAATTTTATATTTCTCTCCCAAACGGGGATTCATTTCTTCCCGTTTTTCTTCTTATTCTACTGAGCTAAGGCAATGTCAAATCTAGCTGTCAAAACTGATACCACCTTGTATTATTGCATCATGTGCATTGTTCAACTTTGCCTTCAACTCAGCGCAGGGTTGCACGAAAAAAAGTTGAAAGGATAAATGTTGCGACCAACTTTGTTGAAAGCGATTAGTTGAAAGGCCATTAAACCAAAAGTTGAATGCAAAGTTAAACAATGCAAACTCCGTTTTATGGCGAATATTTTGATATTTTAAGCTATTCAATTTCTTCTCGTGCAACCCTGCACTGAGTTGAAGGCAAAGTTGAACAATGCAAACACACTTTAACCGGTTCCGGTAGCCCATTTTTGATCCCAAACGTAGTTTCGGTGCCAGTGTGAATTTAAAAACAAAAAATACAGTCGCATCTCGATAACCCCTAACGCTCAACCAAAGCCTTAAATGAGGGTTGGAACACAATGAATCTACTAATTCAATACATTCTGATTGATATACGGTGAGAATTAAATACAAAAAGTATGGAAAAACCTAATGAAATTCATTCAAGTTATATGTTGTGTTTTCACTTGCACTATGTACCCAAATCGACTTTCCAATTTTTCTGCTTTGCTGAGTTAACGCTCCTTGACCGAGTTTCCTCTATGAAGAACTGGTCACCGATCTTCCAGATTAATCAAACTTTCTGTCAACTGTTTCCACATCAGTTGAATCAGTTCCGGATCCCCAAACACCTTACCACTACTTAATTATTATTTAAAGATACACGCTTCTATATTAATATCTGCATATTTATTTGTTTCTTCTCTGCGTCGTCTACGTCGTCACAAAAACACATAAAATTAGAAATTTCAAAAATGATAAGTTTTGTGTATTATTTAATTTAACAAACCATAATCATGTATGTAGTTATTTAAGCGGTTAAGTTTACGTACTCGTATATTGGTGAGGTTATTATACATTTCATACAACTACATAGCATGTATACATTATTACTATTACTATTTTAAATTTAATTTACATAATTTCATTTATTAATGCCTGTAATATGTATGTATAACATTTAGACAGAAGCAAGTAGCCAATTTTGTGATTCGGTTTTGTAGTTATTTATGTTTTTATTTATATATTTAGTTATTTTTTTTTTTTGATTTGTTATATTCAGTCTCACATGCACACATTAAGTTTTATAATGTTTTTTAATTATCTCATTTTCATTCCGACATGTGTTTGTATATATGTATGTAGACAGTGATCTATTTTTTCACTTAATGCAATATAATAGTATTATATATTTATATTAATGTGCATTTTTATTATTTTCATTTTGCTCAATGCATTAACTAGTTTAAATTTTCGGTTTACATTTTGTTAGTTATAAAATTGCTACTGCGGTTCACATTCATACACAATAAAACTATAGTTTAAAAAACTAAAACCTCCCTATAATTGCCATTCATACTGTCATCAGGTATGT